ACAATATTTAAATATTTTTAAAATAGCGCTGCGCTGACAAAACACCTTCTGTTTAAATGAAAAGGAATTAAATTGTGATTGAAGAAACGAGGGGAATGGCTATTAAGAAAGGCATGCCTTCAAAAATAGGAAATATTTAGCTCTTTCCAAGAAAATAATACTGAAAACAGGGTGAACACTTGTGAGCTACGGAGCATTAATCCTTCATACTTAAATGGCTGGGCAGGGAAAGAAGCCCTCTAGACACGCATGCTGGGAGGAAGTCTACACCTGATGCTGAATGTGCACCACAGCTGACTTACGAAAGGAAAGGAACCGAATGCTAAAGAAGGACTTGGAACAGAGAAACGCTTAAGAGCTTCTTCTTCCGGCAGCGCGCGGGGGCTCAGGGCTCCAGGGAAGGCTGCAGACGCTGGGCGTGCAGGTGAGGACCAGCGTGCGGCAGCGCAGGGCAAGAGGGAGGGAGAAGCTGCCCGGGAGGAGCGTGTGAGGCTCGGTGAGGGATGGAACACAGCGTGCAGGAAGAGCGTCTCTCGCCAAGAGCGTGGGTGTTCTCAGGACGCCAAGAACAGCTTCTCTTGTGCTGGGAACTCTGGGCCCCTGGGAAGGTCCTGTCTCAGGGGCGGGTTGCCTGATGTACACACATAGGCAGTGAAGGCAAAGCTCTCTGTTTACCTTTGCTTCTCCAATCAGAATAAGCGCCCTGCCCAGCACCACCCAATCATCTGAGTTTCTTGTAACTCGCAGAACACTGGGTTCGTCAATGGCAGGAGGGCTGATGTCTTAGCTACTCTTCAATGCTTGCTGGGGCAAATACCCTACACTCAAAATGAGGGAAGGAAAGGCTTATTTAGCTCACAGTTCCTGCAGGTTTCAAGTCACTGGAGGAGAGACCGGGGCACTGCCGTGTCCAGGATGACCCTCTCCACCTCTCAGACAGCACAGGTTGGCCAGTTTAACAGCTGGAGGCTCTCTGGCCCCGCCCCTGGCCCCGCCCCTGGCCCCGCCCTGTGGCCACACCCCCTCGGCAGGCCCCGCCCCTCGGGCCCCGCCCTGGTCCTCCAGCTCTATCTTCCCCATAACTTACATGAAGCTTTGGGGGGACACCGAGATACAAACCACAGCAGCTGGCAAGGAGGTTTTCAATCACATTTTTCTTCCTCAACAGAGCAGTATCCGCTTCCAACACCTCTTTCTCTACTGTTTTTTTTTTTAACCGTTGAACGTAAATTCATCCAGGGATGGTAAGAGAAGTGAATAATGTTGGGGGGCCCTTGAGATGAAATTATCACCGAAGTTAAGAGCAGACTATTTACCTGCAGTAAAAATACATGGCCCCTCGTTTGCTGTAACAGTCTTGTCCCCCTCCTACTCCACTGGCCATCCCTTTCCAACCATCCCGGAAGTTCTCTTTACTCGCTTCTTGCTCCAGTCTTCCTGATTGTGCTGTGTTGTTCCCTCAGACACTTGCAGGCCTGTAGCGACGCAAATCATCTTTTATAAACTTTGACGCATGCATGCTGACCCCCAAGCACGCCGTTCACGTCTTCAGGTTGCTCTGCGCTGCATCTCTCCTGACAGCAAGGTTAGGCCTACGAGCCTGTCTTTGCTGTTATCTAAGGTCTGTTCATGGCTGTCACAGCAGGGTGGCCTGCAGCAACTGTCACATCACCCGCCAAGGGCTGCTTGTACTCACGCTCTTTCATCACGTCAGCCGTCTAAGAAAGCTTCATCATACTTTAGAGAGTTTTGAACTGGAGTATTTTCTCAATCCCAGAGAGGTCCCATTCACACATGTTTTTACATGTAATTCCTGAGGAATTATTTGGGTGGTGTGGATCAAGTAAAGATTCATTCTTACCTTCAACAGCTGCTTTTACTTCAGTGTGCTTACCACTGAAATGTTTTCGTTTTACTTATTTAAAGATTCAGCGGCAGTTGATGGTGCTCTTCGGACAAGCGGTCCACTCATGCCCAGTCCTTCTGGTGCTTATGGCAGTTAGGTACTCATCGATTTGTTTTATGTTGTGGTGCGGCTGGCCCGTGAGAGCTCTGTGTGCTGTCTGGAGGGCGCATCTACTAAGCAGATGTCCCACAGCAGTGGCCCCGAGGAACTGGGCTGTCCACGTTCCCAGCAGAACTTCTGACCAAAAGTAGGCCTATTTCTTGGTGCTGTTTGCTACCAGCAGTCTCACTTTCACATTGTTTACGTTAACTTTTCCGTGTTAGTAATTCCAGTAACGTGATCTGCAAAGCAACAGGGTGTCCTATTACAGCGCTTCTTCCTTCATTCAGTTTCCCTGTTTTGACCTATGCTACAAATCTCACAGGGGTCAAAAGTCTAGGGTGAGAAATCCATGCTTACTGTGTATGTCTGCTCGTTTGTCTTACAGCTTTTGCTACTTTAAATCAGGGTTGGGTGATACCAACTTGGCATTAAAATCATATCAGATCCTCCATACTCCTTTTTTTTTTTTTTTTGGTGGAACCGGGGATTGAACTCAGAGAAGCGCTTATTCTACTGAGCCATCTCCCCGGCCCCTCCCCCTTCCCATTGGAGTGCTTTTATTAGCCATGTTCCCAAAGCTGGGACATGTTAAAGGAGAGTTTCATTTTGGCTCACGGTTTCTGAGGTGCAGTCCAAAGTGGTCTGGCTTGGAGGGACAGCGGCGCTGCAGATAACAGCTGCTCAACCACACATCGAGACGGACAGCGGAGCCAGGGACAAGGACGCCTCCTTCCAGGGCCCAGCTCCGGTGGCCCGCCTCCGCCCACCGAGCTCCTGCTCCTGGAGCATGTCCAGAGCGTCCTGCCATGCAGTCTCCTTCCAGAAGCTCCACTCCAAGCACGAGCTTCGGGGGCCGCTGCACGCCTGAGCCACTGCGGCGCTCCTGCTCCGTACGTTTGGGAGCACAGAGCCGGGCGCAGCTCGTGCACCACTCAGCGCGGCCCCTTCAGACACCCGGGGTCTCTGATCGAGGGCCCGAGTCTGGGCTCTTTGTCCAAACTAAGGAAAGTGAGACTTCCATTCCAAGAGGCGCCGTTCTCAGCCAGTTGGCGCTCACACGACAGTGATGTCACGTGCAGTAGCGAACAGCACGTGCAGTACTTACCTGTTTCTTCTCGTGCTGGCCTCATCAAGCCCAGAAAGCTTCCATTGATATTCTCTGCCCGATTTGTTTTACGATAAATGTACAACAAAATTTGTGGAGTCTTCCTTTTTTAAATAACTCGGAATACAAATTGTTTCAAGATTTAAAAAGGAAACAATAATTTCTCCTGTACTTAGTAAACTTAAATAAGTACAGGGATTTTAGGCTTGTCATTGATGCAGCAAGCAAGCAAGAAGAGCATGCTACAAAACTTTCGAATGAGCCACAGTAATAGTAACAAAACAGACCGTTCTTTCCAGCTGTCGCCCAAAACATGATACTGAGCTACAGATCTTATTTACGTGGGTGGGGGTAGGGGTAGAGAACTTTGCTAACCGTTCACACTGCATTGTGACGTTTATTGTATATTTCTCCCTTATTCTCTTATATTCTGTTCCTTCATGTCCCCTTTCTATGAAGCTGATCTTATAGGTTCATTATGTATTTTTTAAAAGTGCATATTCTTTTAAAATGTATATATTGGCGTGTACACGGGTTCAATTTACACAAAATGAATTGTGTTCTTGCTGTTATGTTTGCTCTCTTCTTGCCTGTTTTTCTTTTGCTGTTAGGGTCCCCTAGTACAGCCCTTCGGGTAAGCCTGTGTTTAGTTCATGGTCTCTTCCCTGCTGCTGCGGCTCCCACAGAGTGCTCCTGCGCTAGGGCTGGAGATGGACGCCTGAGGCACCAACACCCCCACACCAGATGGCCCTGTGCTGTGTTTTGTAGCATGCCACTTCTTGCTTGCTGCATCAATTACAAGCCTAAAATCCCCGTATTTACTTTAGTATCCTAAGTAGAGCACCAGTTATTTCTGAGTCACTAACCCAAGTGCTCCCATCGTACCTGAGTACCAGGCTGCACTGCCCTTGCTTCTGTAGCCCGGCACTAGCACCTGCTGTCGCTCCACTCCTGAGAAACTTCTGGAGATTCTTCCAGAGTTAGTCCCAAGTACTCAGGAGGGACACACAGGTGGAACAAACCTGTACTACACAGAATGAATTGGGGACAAGTCTCTCTGTCTGTCTGTCTGTCTGTCTGTCTGTCTGTCTGTCTGTCTGTGTCTCTCTCTCTCTCTCTCTGGTTGGGATTGAACCCAGGACTTCGCATGCTAAGCCTGAGATGCACCAGCCACAGCCCTGGTGTTCCAATTCTTTGACCTGATTGTTATCATTTCTCAAGAGTGTTAGAGAAGGCTTCTGACTAAGTTGCCAGTGACTGGGTATTTTTCAAGGTGGAAAATAGGTCAATGCCTGAAACTTGAATTTTCTGTTTCACGTCAAGTATGTTGGCACCCTTGGGAAAAAAGGATGCCACACTGACTCGATTTACTTTCAGTTAGGATCATTCTAAGTGCCCAGATGTATGGGTGTAAGGGTTCTTGCCTCTCTAAAATCAGTTAAAATAGAACTAGGCAGATGAAAGGAAAAAAAATATGTTGAAGCTTAGTGAAAGCCAAAATTCTCAGAATTTCATAAAGCATAAGGTGCATGTACTGTTTCCTGAATAACATACTTGTTAAGTACAATTTACACATTTAGCCACTGAAGCATAAGTAGTGGCTTTTTTCCATTATCAAGCATCTCATCGTTGGAAACAGTATGACACTGCTTTCTACTGTGGCACAACTTCTACTGTTTTAGGTGCTAAGACAATGGCAAAAAGCTAGAGCCTACTTCTTGGTGCGAATAGTAATAGATGGCTAGAGATACAGGTCAAGAAATGAGTATCTTCAATTGCTTTTATTCAACTCTCCAAACTACAGCATGGAATTGTATAGCAGTAAACGAAACATGACAAATCTGAAGATGCTCTGAATGGGAAAGATGCACATATTTTAACTGAACATCAGCATTCTTCTATCTTATTTTTATTCGCAGGCCGCTTCTGAGAGGGCGCAATCCGCTGCATCGCTTCAGGTATCTTCAGCAAAAAGAAAATGCAGAGCCAGTAGAAGTTGGTGACTATGTACTCAATAATTTCAATAATTGTGATCAGGCTGGCTCCACAGAACAGGCCCAGCTGGCCTCCGACATCTGCTGTAGTAAAAAGCGAGACGCAAACGGAGTCAATCATGAATTTTCATAAAAAACCCAAATATACATTGTTAGACATTAAATTGTGTGAAGCTAGTAGGTTAGATGGCTGATAATGCATAAAAGCTAACCAATATTATATGAAGATAAATAGAACATCAGGAAAATGATGCTATGTGAAAATAGGGTGATTGTACTATTTTAAAATTTGGCATCCCAAGGTGAAAGTGGTTCACACCTGGCAATAGTGTTCATTCAAGTAATCTCCAAAAGAAGGAGGAGAAATCAAAGAGAAAATCTGTTCTGGAAATATATCTCAAGGTCTCTGGAATACATGCCGTCTGGAATAACTAACCTCTGACGGATTCTAAATAATAGCAAGGCCATTCCGGGTGTCACCTGTTGGCAGGGACAGCGTCACCGGAGGCGCTGACTGGGCACGTTCATTTCCAAGCAATTTGGAGAGCGAGTGACCACACTACTTCTCCTTGACCATTTACACCATTTCACTTAACCTATGCACATGAAAGCAGCACTGCTTTTTAATTTTAATTTTAATTTTATATCTTTTTTTGGAGATTGAGTTTTGCTGTGTAGTCCAGGTTGGCCTTAAACTCACTCTGTAGCCCAGGCTGGTCTGAAATCAAAGTGACCTTCCTGTCTCAGCCTCCTGAGTGCTGGGATGATAGGCATGTGCCACCACACCCAGGGCAAGGACTGCTTTTTAAAAGACTGCATTTGTTGTTTGTGTTTTTTGTTGTAATGGATGTACATAGCATCAAATTCATCATGTCAACCATCCTTAAGTGTGGAATTCCATGGTACGAAGAGCACCCAACCCTTCTTCACTTATCACAGCCACTCATCTCTGGAAAAGGTTCACCCTCCCTGAAGAGATGGTTTGACGGCTACCTTCCCACCAGCCCCTGCCAATGCCCCTGCTTCTGCATGCTTGCAAACTGTCTTCTTCAAATCGTGGAGCGCTGGTAGATGCCCCCTCTCCAGGGTCTCAGGATGGCCCTGGCTTTCTGCCTGACTCTGAAGCTGGCTCTGGCCTCCTGCAAGCCTTCTTCACATGCGCAAGACTCAGGAGATCTGCAGGGAGGCCACGGATGGTGGCCCATGGGGACGTGAGCAGGGCTGGGGGCCTCAGTGCTCAGATTGCTGGCCCATTTCCTCTGGACCCTCCTGGGTACACCTGTGAGTGGAGGGTGAGGTGACTGAGAGTGACACCTGGGACCTCTGAAATGGTCACTCTGTGAGGGCACTGAGGACGTCGGCCTCCTCTTTATCAGAGACCCCTTGTGCATTCATCTTCTGCACTTTCCAAGGACTACAAGGAGACCTGGCTTAAACAACTGCCAAATGGCAGGAACACTTGTGATTCTTTTTTCTCCATTAGTAAGTTAAACCTTAACTGCCAGAAGGGGAAAAGTCCTGACGGAAAATTGAAGCCTGGCTAAGCCACACTTACCTAGTAACTCTGGCACGCTGACTGCTTTTTGCTGCTGGGTTATCTTATAGTTCAGTTCACTGTAGTTTATTTCAATGTTCACTAGATTCTCTCTGTGGATGAACACATGGTTAACACTGACCATCAGCATTGTTTTCGCTCCTATCTGACAGAGCAATATGCATTTTAGAATCTGACCCTATTGATTACTGGGCTAGACTCATGGTGTGTATGCAGTATGAATCCCAAGGACCAGCATTTGGAAGACATCCTTGTTAGGCTGGGACCTGAGGGAAAGAACCATTGTCGACACCTCAGCCTTGTCAGGCTTCAGGAAGAGGCCTTGATTGTGAACGCCTTATAAGTAGACTGAAGTATTCACAAATAGTGAGACACATGTGATTTTAATTCCAACCCTGGTTCCTTTCTTTGCCACTTATGTTATCCTGGAGAAACCACGCGTTTACTTGTGCTTAGGTTTTCTCATTTGAGGCTGGCATTTTCAAGTTGAGCTCCCAGAGCTGACCTGAGAAGAAATCACATAATGCCCACGGGCACTGGCATAGAGCTCGGCATGTGCGCAGCGCTCGGGAGCGGTTATCTGCTTGCGTCACTGATGTACTTGAGTGAAGACTCCATGTCTCTGGGGATCCCCATCGAGGCGAGTGGCTCAGCATTCCATGACACAGTTACACGGTTGGAGGCCCTCACCCTGGCTCTGGCTATTCTGTTGCTTCTTGGCATTTCCACTCAGTTGTTTATTGATGTCGTACATTCCAAGACACAGCCTTGCTATTTCCAGGGCCCATAAAGTACAATTTCACCGCTGAGCCCCACTTGAATCCCGTCTGTCTCACCTGTAGGACACAGCCAGAGGCCTGCCGTTCTCACCCGGATTGATGTTGCGATCTTGGCCAAAACTTTGATACTATCTCACTTGGACTTTCTAATAACTTTCCGTGGTCCTTCAGCTTCTAACTGTAAGGTACTGTGCACCTTCTCTGCTATTCATAAAAAGCAAAACATAATTTTGCAACTTGCCAAATTATGACACTTCTGACCAGTCTTACCCCTTTGCCACTGAGATTGTCCAGCATGTTCTTAAGAAAACCTCTGCCTGAACTGTGGGCATTGGAGTAACCAAGACTGAATTCGGGGACTTCACTAAACTACACCCCCACATTGAGTTTTTAACATTCTCATTTTATTATTTCTTTTCCTCTGAGGCAAGATCTTGCTAAGTTGCTAAGCTGCCCAGGTTGGATTTGGACTTGCAATCCTCCTCCCTAAGCCCCCCAGAATAGTGAGATTATAGGTATGTATCACCACCTCCAACCCTCCATGGTTTTTAGAGAATCTCCACTTCAGGTCTTTGTTCAACTGTACCTTCTTCAGGTGGTTTTCACTGATCGCCCTCCCCAACCTGGAGAACAGCTCTCTCTACTCTGGCTTCTCCAGGGCACTTTACTGATACCTTTCTTGGACATCACCTGCAGCCCTCTGCTGTGACTGACCTCCCCATTCCTCATTTCTGCCCCAGTGGAAACAGACACACAGTGTGGTTTTGGCCTCTTCTCATACACCAAGGCAGCCCTACATCCAAGAGTCCCCATTAATCCCAATGCATCACTAGTGTTCTCATACATGTGTAGGAAAAAGAAAGAAGCAACAAAGCCAATAAATACATACTAATTTGCCTGTGGCATAAACTAAATGGAAAACCAATGACCGCCTGATTTTCAGATGGCAGTAAACATGTTCATTAGGAACAGATCTTATTAGTAGCGCTTCCTGGAATTACGTGATGCTCATTGACATTTCTAAGGAGCACAGCTTTGAACCACTGTTCTTATTGTTTACAGCTTTGGAAATCAATACTCTCAAATATACTTAATTCAAAATGTGTCATTAATCTGTGTACCTGATTTCCATTGGGTTAACCCTGGGTAACGGGAGAATGCACAATGCTCAATGAGACAAACAGAGAACACTGTTGTATTTACAAATAATAAAGCAGCTGCCAAAGAGAAGGAAATCAGACAGCTGTCTTGGAGATGCAGAGATTTCGGGAATGCTCCCCTATTTCTGACTTCCAGGTGCTCCTGGCTTGCCCTGATACCGCTGTCTAACTCCCCAAGCGCAGTGTCCACGGTCACGTCCCGCACCGTCCATCTGTGTCTCTAAGAGCAGATGAAGTCCCTTCACAAAAGCATTGTAGTCTTTTCTCTGCTTTGCTCAGGCAGCTGATCAGCCCAGTGATTTGGACCTCACTTAATCTGTGCCTCTGGTGATAGTGACATTGTTCAGTGAAGCACAAAAGCATTTAGTTATCTTAGGGAAAACACTGTTGTAAAATTAAGCCTGGACTTTACTAAGGACAAAGAGGTCAATGTAAGCATCACGTGACCAAGACCTGAAGAAACGCTCCCTCCACGTGCCTTAACATGAGTTCTGGATGGGGACTTAAGTGGTGCGGCATAAAACTGCCTTGCACAGCTGAGCTTCGGGATGTGTTAAATAGATGTTTCAGTTACTTTCTCGGTGCTGAGACAAATATTTGATACCCAAAGCTGAAGGGGGAAAGGTTTATTGTCACTCAGAGTTGGAGAGCTTCCAGTTCACAGTTGGCTGGCTCCATGCAGAGTGTCCAGGCAGAGGAGACAGTGCATGGTGGGAAAAGACAGGAAGCAGCAAACAGCGGGGTGGCGAGGAACGAGAAGCAGCAGCACCAGTGTGCCCTTTCTGTTCCTTTTAGTGTGTCCAAGCTGCCCACCTCTAGGGCAGTAGCACTCACTGGGCACCCTGATGCCCGGTGTGGCACCGTGAAGCGATCCCAGCACCCCAGCCTCAATCCCAGCAGCACGCAGTCTGGATCCAGCCACCCCGAAAAGCTCCACCTATGAGTGCTGAAGGCTCTGGGTGGACATCTGTGTACAAGACACACCAGTAGAGCAATTTTAACAGTTCAGTTCATGACTAACGAGATCTCCTATGTCCAGTCACAGCTCATGCCTACTCTGCTTCTCCAGTTGAGCTGAGCGCCTCCTCATCTTCATAATGAGGCTCAGCTGCTGCTGCTGCT